TCTACACCCACGTGTCCAGCTACCACTATACCAAAAGCACTCACACCATGTAAACCTAAATTAAGTCCTGGTTAGGATTTAGCAGCAGCGTTGGTTCCACAGACAACTCTGTCTCACCAGTCTCCAGGTGGTCCTGTGGTAGCTGGGCACTTGCTGGGTAGAGCTTTCTTGCATGATGTTTTCAGGTTAACCAAATCTCTTCTCACCAAATCTCCCTAACTTTGCCTCGCCACAAGAATCTGTTCCTGATTGGGTTTACAGCATACAACTCAATTATTTTCCAGAAAGTAATATTCCACTATCTGTGTCTTTCAGTGATGATGGCGAAGGAGAAGCCACCTATTACTGTTGTTGGAGATGTAGGAGGCAGAATCGCTATCATTGTTGTAAGACCTTAAGCTTTTATGTAATTTTCTTTTATTTAAAGCAGTTGATCAGTTCTTTCCTCATATTGAAACCTCTCAAAAACATCTGGTTTTGAAAGATACAGACTGAGGAATGGTTTTAATCTTTGGGTCCTCATACGGTTAGAGTGAGATTTTCACATATTAATCATTAAGTCAACTTAGTTGGGGGGGGTTGTTTTATATGCAAATTTAAAATAATGAATGCATAAAACCTTGAGTTTTCTCTAGGGAACTTGTGACATCCTTTTCTATGTGGCATTTGTTAGTAGTTTTACAGGTTTTATGAGGTTCAGTGAGTTCATTGCTAATGTTTCACATGAGGGGGGAGATTACCACAAAATATCCCAGCAAGGCCAAGAATTTCTGGGGATTTTTGTTCTTTGATGTTGGAGATTCACGTTCGTCATGCCACTTTAAGTCACAGATGTTAAAAACAAACCTCATAAATGTTCATTATTGTTTACAACATGACATGTTGACCCAAAAGAGAGAAAATGTTGGCATTCAAGTTTTTCAGCAATTGAAATATATTTTGAATTGCTTTCCCTGTGTGATGCCTGACCGTGTTGTCACTTTCCCAGGATGACATGATAGATGATGTGGAGGAATTTGTTGCAGCAGCAGAAATCCTGAAGGAGAGAGGAGCCTACAAGATCTACATCATGGCTACACATGGCCTGCTGTCTGCAGATGCACCAAGACTAATAGAGGAGTCTGCTATTGATGAGGTAAAATCGTGTTGGCTGATGTTGGATCAGGTTACCTTCCTACTTAGAAAATGGAAAAACATAGTTAATCAGTATTCTGGCTTATACTGAGAATGTGTCAGATTTGTAATATATCCCTCTATATTTAGTAATGCTGAATCTGTAATACTTTGTATGCATGTTCTTCATGGTTATCTAGTGTCATGACTAATGTCTCAGGTGTGAAGCTAGAGAAAGCGTGTATGACAAATCACTCATAACACAAATGACACATTTTAGTAGCATTTATTTCTGGTGACCAACAGACTTAAACAGTGTGATATCCTGTTGACTCGTGCCTTGACTTGAGTCAATGTCATATGTATTATTAACCTTGTCAGAAGGTTTAGGGGACTTTTCCCCTGAATTCAGCTTAAGGACTGGCTTTGATTATTGGGTAAAAATACACTAAATTAGATTGTGGTTTGTTTAAATGCAGAGTTAATGTGAATATATCATGTCCATGTGGCATTGGTCATGCATCAGTTGTTCCCGCAGTATGTACCACCTCACCTAGCTCCACCAATCAAATGCTCATTTAAAGATAAAGTTGTAAAAAGTCAAGTTCAGAAGAAGCCCCAAAATTGATCTTAGAATTTGATAATTTTAGCTTTAGAAGAATTTATAATGACTCAAGGCAGTAAAGTCTCTATAGTCATGTGGGCTGAAACAAAGTCACTAAGGCTGTTGTATTGTGCCTCCAGGTGGTGGTGACCAACACTGTACCTCACGAGGTGCAGAAGCTGCAGTGTCCAAAAATCAAAACTGTGGATGTCAGTATGATCCTGGCCGAGGCGATTCGGCGCATCCACAACGGAGAGTCCATGGCCTATCTGTTCCGCAACATCGCTGTGGATGACTGAGGCAACACACACACTTAACATTCCTGCACACACAAAGTCAACATTATCAAGCACACACCGATGGCCTAGAATCAAGTTTTCTCTGCTTTAACCTGTTGTTCCTGTTTGTTTTGCTGAGAAACATGTTGACAGAAATGGGCTTTATTTACTGTATGTTACATTTGAAGCAACTCAAACTCTGCTTTATTCTTCAGATATGTCACATAGCGGGACTGTACAAACAAAACCAACAGTTCTAATTCACTAAAATATGCGTCCTACCATCTGAAAACATGAATAGCACAACATATTGTATCATGTGCAGCCTCTGAATACACTGCAGAATTTGGCAAATAAAACCATTCTTCTTGGGTGACTAAAGTTGTCTTTTTTTTTCCAACCATGTAGATTTAAAGTGAAAAATGTGTGGATATATTTTAACTGGATAAATGTACCACAGCTGGTGTTAGTAAGTAACCCATGGTTTGCATTTTAAGTGTGAAGAAATTTCTGGAACTGTCAAAAATGTACAGTACAGTGGGTTCACACCTGAACCTAAACTTTCAGTAGCGGTTTCAGTCATAGCTGAGGCCGCCTGCTTTATGAAGCATAGTAAAGCATGACCTGTCAAATTGCAGTGTTCAGCTATAGTTAGATGAAAGTGTTCATCATAAAGCTTGTGCCAAAGAGCTCTGCAATGCATGAGGTGTTTTGGCATTTTATGATTGCAGTAGGCTATAATACATAGCACAGCACTAGTCAGGAGACATAGAGTGTAGGAAAAAGATTTGGTGTAATGTAGGCAGAGTGCTGGCATGTGATTGTCATTGGGCCTTGATTTGTATTTATATTATGTACTTTTTACATTAATATTATTATTATTAGAGCTGAGGTTCTCTACCACTGCACGTATACGGTGTAGAGTCACTGTTATTTTGGGTGATAATTTCCAAATATAAATTCAAATAAATGAGTAATTCACAGTCTCACAAGTTGACACATGACCCACAAAGGCTCAGTCAGAGTAAATATCTGCATGCGACACATTCTTTAGTTATTTTTACTCTTCTATACAGGAATAAGCCATAAAACCTTAATTGTAGTGATCTGAATAGAACGCAATACAACTTTGTTTCAGTTTATATGCAGGCAATACACACAATGCTGACATTTTGTTAAACTGTATTTAATAATCCTGTTGTGTTCTGTCCAGGACCCTAAACTTGTTCCAAACGCCTCAGAGTCACTTTAATCTGCTGAGGAGCTTTGACCAAGTCCAGGGGCGAAGACCTCTGAGAAAATAATCATAACCGTTTAAATGGCCTCCCTCACTGCAGTTAAAATATGACCGTTAATTTCTAATAAAAGTAATACTCAAGTAAAGGTAGTACACGTAAAATGACTATACAGAAACCCTCAAATGTCCATCTCAGATGTAAATTAAAGTAGAATTCTGTGTTACCAGATGACAAATCCACACACCTGTGTGACCATGAAGCTGCCAGGCCTCCCTCCCTTCGTAAATGACCAAGAGCTGAGTGCGGAAGAATGTTTAAATGTGGACTGAAAGAGGAACTGCCTGCAAACGTTTACCCCGGCCACTTCCTCAAATTAAAACAGGAAACTTGCTTCAGTCTAATCTGATGTGTGTGTCTTTGTAAGGGGGGGGGCTTGGACCTGAGCGTTACATGTGTCTCCGCTTGGAAGGTTGCATTTAGGGGAACCGTGCACAGCTATTTCAGGAACTGAACAATGGTCCATTTGGTCAACTGGTTAAACAGGAGTTTATTATTCAATTTAGTGATGTTCAGGGGCAGTTCAGGTTGGTTTTCTTAACTTTGACTGGAGTTCCCTCAGGCCTAGAGTCAGTTAGCAGACTTTACACTGCCTCGTTGATGGGGACATCACTTGCTTTCATCTGAAGTCGGAATAATTTTGAGATGTGAGAGATGTGAAAAGTGATTGCGATACTGTTTAGGCTGTTTCAGTTGTAAGCTCAAGTGCGTTTTAAGGATCAGAAATCACATTTCTTTCTTTATCAGAACACTAATGAGCTGTGGGAGGATGGGAACACAACACAGTGGAGTCTGTGTCTGGACTCTTGAATGTTGTTGTTAGACCAAAGTATTTAAAAGTTGTGATGTGTTCATTTTCTTTTTGGGGGGGGGGGTTGCCTTTATTTGATAGGAGCAGCTGAAGAGACAGACAGCATATGTAGGGGAGAGAGAGAGAGGGGAGATGATATGCAGCAAAGGCGTGCGTGCTGGAATCAAACCCAGGCTGCTACATTAAGGACTTAGCCTTGCTTATGGTGCACATGCTCTACCAGATGAGCTTACTTGCGCCCGGATGTGCTTATTTTCAACATGAGTCACAACCATGGGACCTTACTTTGGTATGTAAATTCAAGGTTTTAGGTTGAACCCTCATTAGTCACATAGCAGTAGACAACCAAGGATACACATAAACTGAGTTGTCACTTTAATTAATGCAATGCGTGTTTTTCATCAGCAGATGGCACCACAGATCTTAACATACTGGAAGATACCAACAGAAACTGGAACACAAGGAACACTTTTTTTGTTGGCGCTTGTTGGCTCACTGTTTCACATTTTAGGACTCCACAGATGAAATGGAGCAGTAGTTGTAAAAGCAGAAAGTGAACATGCTGGTACCCCAACAAAAACAATTTGTTTGTTTTTTTTTTTAACACATGCATTGCATGTTTACTTTTTTATATTTTACAGGATGTCTGTGAAGATTCTCAGTCATCCAGGTCATAGTTATCCAACGAAGGTTAAAGTCAAGCGCAACTGGACTTGGTTCTGGACAGTTCTATTTTTCACAATCACAGTTTCATCTTCCTATACCTATCTGAAAGGAGGACATAATGTCAGTGATTTCCTTATCCCATGGAGTGCACATGTCTCATGTGTATTGTAAAAAGTTTAATGTTTTGGGTGGACACGGATATTAATCTATTATATACTGTTATATTATACTGTATAATATTCTAGTATACTATAGCTTCAAACATATGCATACTATAGTGTAGCTATGAATTGCATTTTTGCATGTTCCATGACCGTGATGTATTTAATCAATGTTGTTGTGTTATTTATTTTTGCACCAACATACTTTCCTTAAAGCAATTATTAAAATTTTTATATAACTTACGATTGATTTATGATTGATTTAGCATTTAATGTATTCATCCGACATTAACATCAACAGATTGTTTTGTGCTTTTATTACAGATTTCACATCCACATCCACATTCCACTTATATTTGTTGAACAGCATTTGTTAAATATGCTTCCATAAAAAAATCTAACTTTAAAAAAAAAACTAATAATAATTTTGAATGGTTATTTAAAAATGAAAAGTGCATTTACAATTTACATTTGCATGTAAAAAACAAGAGCAATGCCATGCTTAATAGCAAATTGTAATTGAATACAAAAAATGTAAACATGATGTGGTACAGGTGAATTTTTAAATTAAAACAATTTACATGAGACTTTTGTATGAACCACAATACATATACATACTTTCTCTCAGTAAACAATCTGTGAGCAACAGTCCAAATATCTTGATGTAAGTGAACATTTTAATTTGAAATCCAGAAGCTACACATTGATCTAAACACCAGCAGCATCTCACAAAATAAGCAGCAACATTACGTTAAGTAAACAACTTAAGTGGTTAATTTATCTTCCTTCTTTCCACTGGCAGTCTGTTCAAGTTCACACTTCCTACCATTCACCTCGTTATTTTATTTTCTTCTCAATTGTGAACCCTGAAGTGTCTTTGTTGGTCCAGAACCACTAATCCTCAGTCAGGCAACCCACACTGACTAAAGTCCAGGCTTTTCTCTTCACTCTTTCTCTCTGTGCACTGAGTTGCACAGCTTACCCTCCATCCTCATCCCGTGTCCCTTCGTGATAGAAACGACACTTCTTCTCCCTCCGTCTCCGTTACGACAGAATACAGCTATTGGTCTTGTTCATGGGTGGCCGGAAGTTGGTGTCTTTCGGAAAGGTCTCCCTGCGTCTGCGTAGAGCAGGGCTGAGCCGGCTGGGAAGGTTCGCCTGCTGCAGGAGCTCCTTGAACACCTCCACCACGTTGGAGTTCTCCTTCGCGGAAGCTTCCAGGTAACTGTTGTTCCAGTCCAGCTCTACAGTTGACAGCACGTCATCGTTGGACACCTGCCGCTCCTGGTCCACTTTGTTCCCCACCACCACAATTGGTGTGTACTTGTCCTCCTTGATCTCCAGAATCTCATCTCGGAGGCTCTTGACAGCCTCCAGTGACTCTGGGTCGTCAACAGCGTACACCAGAGCGAAGGCGTCGCTGTTTTGGATGGAGAGCTTGCGCATTGCTGGGAAGGAGTAGCTGCCACTGGTGTCCAGGATCTCTACTGTGATCTTGACCCCAGCGATGTCATACTCTTTGCTGTGCAGCTCCTCCACTGTGCGCCGGTGTTTGGGTTCAAACGTGTCTTGGAGGAAGCGTTGAATCAGGGCTGTCTTGCCCACTCCTGCAGCCCCCAGAAACACTAGACGCACCTGGGTCTTCTCCTTCACCTCCAAAGACATGCTTGTTTGTCTTTTTGTTTTTTTTCCTGTTTGGGCAAAAATAAGTAAAGAAAATGTCCCAAAAATCTGTCTCAGTTTACTCACTTACACTCACTGGTTACAACAGCTGCTGTGGTTCTATGTAAATAGCTTGCCAAAGTTGCTCATTGAATGCTCCTCTGTGGCTGATCCCACACACTGCCTTTTATGCCTGTTGTGAGAGCTGCCATGCCCTCCTTCAGTTGCAACCAATCAGCAGACGGAAGCCTGTTGAAGTGTAACATTCAGGCAGCCAATGATTACAGAACATGTAAATCAATAAGCAGGGAGAATGGAGGTGGTGATTAGAATGTAAGCAGCCATAGAGTTCCTAAGAGCAAAGACATCATCTGCCCATCGTTGTCATGCATCAGTTTTGACAATATAAGGAAACGAAGACATACAGTTGGTATGTGATTCTTCTTTTTTAGACAGAATCATCCCATAAACAAACAAACCTTAAAAACCTGTTAAACTAAAAATGTGTCATATTTCTGACATTCAAGCTCTGACATCCCTTTGTATGAATACGTTAGTAGACTGCAGTAAATAATCTGACTGTGACAGGATGAGTAAAAGATATATACTATACTAAAATGCTCTGGTCACATTTGCGGAGAGATGGAAGGTGATCTTGCATTAATTAAACAGTGACCCACTGGTTTATTATAATTATGTTGAATATTTTAAAGGTCAGTGTTTGAAAAGTACATCACAGATTTGTAGAATCTTGTTTACATTTATATATTCACTGTGTTCAATATAAGACAATTCTACTGCAATTACAGTGGGCTCTAAATATTGATTTTGGCAAGGTGAGGAAAGGCAAGGCAATTCAAACATACTTTATAAGACACAAAAAGGCATTAAACAAATATGTAAAATAAAAGTTCTAAGCCTTGATATAAAATAACGGAGAGTTAGCACCGTCCTCCAGTTTTCTGTGAGTTTGTTCCAGATATGTAGGGCATAAAAACTGAACGCCGCTTCTCCATATTTTTTTTTTTTTTTTTGGCCCAGACAATCAGAGACGTGTGGATGGCTCAGCAGCACAGTAATTTATTCATAAGAGTTAACCTCTGATGAGCAAATACCTTCAGGCAGGGTAGGCAGCAGCATAAATGCCAAAACTGTGATAATCAGCAAGAAATCCTTCTTCTTTTTTTTTTTTTCACTCTTTTGCCTAAGTGTTTATCATTTGTTAGTATGAATGTAGAACTAGACAGTAGGTTTGTCATGTCACTCCATGCAGTTACACTAGTGTTCCTCCACTCTAAGTATGTTGTTTCATTCCTCCAGTAGTAAAAGGGATGTCACAAAATGATCAAAAGTCCTATGTTATGATTTTCTTCCTGTGGTGTTAATTCAGAATAAATTAAAAATGCCTTTGCAGAATTTATGTCCTTAAGCTGATGACATTTTTCTTATGCAAATTCTAAGGAGAGCAGCTTATAGATCAGTTTAGTCACACACGGCAATGCATGGATCTGTGTGAATCACCTTCAGCTGTCCTTGGTGTCCAATTAGATGTGATGCATTGCCTGTAACAGTCTGAGAACGGATCCCGTCTGCCTCTAGTTTGTCAAAGTTTGTTCCCGAATGGTGAGCCTGGCTCATGATCCTCTTAAGACTAGAATCTTTTCATGGACTGTGACGCTCTCTGCCTTGTTAGGTTAGGCAACAGCATGGAACCACAATAAGCCGCAGAGAACACTGTAACCCCTCCCATCGTCCCACCAATGCAGAGTTTTAATATACCTTCACACACTGTATCCCCAGGGGCCTGCTGTACCTGATGGGCAGTGGAGCAGAGCTAAACACTGTGGTAATATTTGGTGTGGACTTCCCTGTCTTGACACACAGTGTGTGGATCACTAATGGCTGCAGTCACTGCTGTGGAATTTAAATCAGGCTTTCTGAGCTGTTGACAGTTCTAGTCAGATTGTCTGACTGCCAAGAGTGGCACAGGTAAGTAAACACATCTTATTAAATATGATGTATGGTATGTGTGATACATGGATTTAAGCATAGAATATAAAATACAGTCAGACGTACAATATTATTGCCTCTCCATTCTGACCTTATTTCAGCATGAAAAACATTGCCATTATTCTCTCTTTCTCTCCACACACACATACACACACTTGTAAAGCATTTAGAATCTTGATGAGAAGTTGCACTAAAGACATTTTTGACTTTGACATTTTGTCACAGCTGGAAAAGCACAGGTGGAAATAAGTATTCAGCTGCTTCAGTTTCATGGTCCTGGTTTTGTTCATGCTGGATCTCTTTCACACTGTTATGGCTTACTGGATGGCACTTATATAGAATGGAGCCATCGTTAATGTTAACAGCCCTGTTTTTCCTCTTATGACAAGCCAAGATGTCTGCTGTGAAAAGGCATACTGCAATATATATGATATCCAACCTGAAAAATGGACCTCCCATCTGTGGCTACTGGGTGTTTTTGTTTGTACATCATGTGCCATTATTTTGTTGTATTTCTGTTTACGGCCATGCCGCCCTGTGGTGATAATTACCAGATGCCATCGCCTGTTGGACTGAAACGAATGTTCAGCTCTGACGTGTGTTAAGAAGAATTGCTATTGTAAACCATCAAACATTGTACCAATGGCATGGCATGCATATATTTTACTCCAAAAGATCTTTATTTACAGGCTGCATATATTTCTGTTATAAGCTTCCATGACTTGTTTATATAACATAGATAAAAATACACACATTCTATATCTGCTCTGCTATGTTTAGTTCACCTTTTCAGTTTTCAATGCTTAGTCAACAGGTGGCTCTGTCTACATGACCTGTGTCGTGACACTATTGTTACCAAATGTGCCATGGTGCAAGTATGTATGTGTGTTCTATTGTATGCTCTCCTGTAGAGTTGCTAATGTTTCTTCTTCCAAGTCTGTTTCTGTGTTCATTTCTTCTTCATAGATTGTCAAAATCTTATTTTGCTGTTAAAAAAAAAAAATAGAAGCTTTCTGAAGAACTGATGTTTTAGTACTAGTGCCAGATCTGTCTTTCAAAAAGAGAAAGTCGATTATTATTAGTTTTATTTTATTTGAAACAGATTTACCAGTGGCTAGGGGCCCCTTGTGTTATATTGAGCAGGAATGGCCCTGGGTCTGTATGTTGATTGAATGTGGCCCATTTCTTGGCCCCTGGCCTGAACGTCTGCATCTAAACTCCTGTGGGAAACATGTGCACTGCACTGTCATCCTGTCAAGATGATAGATGATGCCTCAAGATGAAGACGTAGAAATCTGACAGATGCCAAATATAAATCTTGCTCTGTATGTGAATTAACCTTCACTGCTACTGGAAGATCCTTCCCCTATATCTGTACTTACAAGAAGGGCCAGTGGAGAACTGTTAATGTTTTGATGCAGGGACAAAGGAGAACACTAACATAATGAAACCATAACACACCTTCAACTCAAAGTTAATGTATTAAACATATATACATACTTGTAGAATAATATATTCAAGGATATGGCTGGTGTTATTCTATGATATTCTTTTGTCATCAAATCAAAAGACCAAAATTGACAACCAAAACTTTATGACTTGTGGTATTCAGGCCCAAGGCAATTTGTAATACTAAAAATTTAAATTAAAAAAACATAGGCACTGTAGATTTTAGCAAATATTTCTAAACCAGGAGATAAAAACATTTGGGGGGATAGCTGCAAAATAATACACATCTGGTGTTTGAGTGAGTATTTACGGTAGGAGGTGAATGTGGGATTGACTCACATTAACATTTTAACATTTTACCCTCTACACTGTGTACACTAGAGAGGTTAATCCTATAAACACTGACTCCATGAATTGCCCTATGTGCTCTGGCTGTTAATACAGCCAAGGCGCTGCCCTGTTGCCTACCAGCTGGTGTGCAGTAGCCTGATGCTTATGCTCTCTGGTAGTGATTGACCAAAATTACAGTACAATTTATGATTATGTAATAACCTAGGCTTTACCTTTTGGGATTGACAATCTGGCAGCCCAGTATTGCTTGAGCAAATGCGACTAAGTTGAAGTTCCCAACCAACTTATTGGTGCTGAGCAGTTAAAATGACTGCTTGTCACTGCTTGTCATGACAGTCTACTGTCGCCACTGGTAAATCCTTCCTCTTCGGCTATAACACTGTGTTGATGTTGTGCTTGGCGATATTCCAAATGGTCTTCCAGTCTGCCAGTGTTGGTTCACAGTCTCACCTTGTTGTAGTCAGTCATACATGTAGTAGGTAAATCTTAATGGGTGAAATTATACCATCTTTTATGGTTGTGTTTTGACTTGATGGTTGCGCAGCTGCCTTTTGTGCCATTCATTTCAAGACACCTGAGACAAAAATAGTTTTTTTACCCCTACATTTTGGAAGAGAGAGACTATTTGGAAAGTAAAGTCATAAACCCAAATAACTGATAAAACAAACATCTTTGTTATCATTATATTTTATGAATGAAGCTTGCAGCCGTTTTAGTACAGTACAATTCTTACTGATGGACTGACAGGATGTCTGCCAGGATATTGTATGTCAACAGTCACATCACATGTCTGACTAAGCAACCACTATCAGTGTCCTCATGTCTCTGTTAGCATGTAGATAGACATGCGATGTGATATTGTTTGTCAAACACCCATCTTTTCTGTCAAGTATATCACTGCAAATTGTGACATTGTTGGGTACTTGGGTATCCTCTTTAATACTCATTTTTTTATACTTTCTTTTGCTTTGATAATCATGGTGTTAACCAAAAAATTATAATGTAATGAGATGTGTATGACCGCTTTTCCTTTGTGGATCATCTACTATCTGCCTAATGAACCTGATTTGAAATAATATATAGTTAGTGATTTTCATATATTTTGTTATTGTTGACAAGACTCTTTTATTGAAACTTTTATTCAAACTGGCCTTTAACTCACCTTGTGCTGTCTAATGTGTGCAGTATTTTGTAGGTCTGTTGTTGCTTATGTTTTATTGTTGTTTCTGTACTGTTTTGGTGGTCTTATTTGTAATGTCACTCTTGTAAAGCACTTTCTTACCTTGATCTGTGAAAGGTGCTATATTAAATAAACTTAGTACTTGCAAATCCCATGAAAGGACCAAAAACAAAAACAAATTGTTCCTGCTTACAAGTATACCCTGTGTGTCTAAACCCTGATATAGTGTATTCCTCTGTGCCACAGAGCCCTATTAATGTAAAAAAACTACCAAAGACACATCAATGAAACACACTTTTGCACTGGATTTTACTTACTATTCACTTTATAATGCTGAACCTGGTCACTGTAGTTTATTTTGCGTCAAACCCATATAAATCGTCCGGCTGTTGTAAGTACTCACTAGAGCACTAAATGTATATTCAGCTGCAAATAGTTTTTTGACTGATTGTTTACTAAAAGCT